TACTACCATGAAGAAATTTTATTGATTTGTAATCTGCTAATAGGTAGCTAGAATTGAAGAGGAGTCAAAGTCCCATCAGTCAGTCTTCAGACCAAGCCTAAAGTGTGAGCTTCACCACCACAGTATTTTCCTAAATAAAGGCATCCTTTATCTCATTTTTCCATAACAATTAATGGAAGAATGGGCTTTGGAGAAAGTTTTACCTATTTTTGTGGCCTTTTTTTTTTTAGCCAATATTTTAAAAGCTAAGCAGAGTCAGACCTGGTTAATATTTGGATGGGGTACTGCTAGGAAATCTCATGTTGAAGACAATTTTTTTTTTAAAAAAAGCTGCCAGAAGTCAATGACAAACCACTTCCATATTGTTGCCAAGAAATACATCCATGAAGTCACCAGATGGGCTTGGCTTAAGAGATTACTCAACATTGAATTCTGTAAAGCAACCCTCTTAATAAATATATAAATTATATGCACACTTAGTTTTTGTTCCAAAATGCACTTAATTTCGTAAAGCTAAGGTCTTAGCTGTGGAAGTGGAACCAAATTGGCCCCCAATAGTTCCTTTAGTTTCATTGGTATCTGGACTAACACCATGACATGAACCTTCATCATAAATATAGAAGCATCTCTCTTACTGGAACAGAAACAGCAGGTTTAAATAAATTGTCGGTGCAAAGAAGAAGTCTAAAATATCTGCTTTATATAAAAATGTGAAGCATCATGTAGAAATGTCATGTCCCTCTTCACCCCCACCACCAGTGCACTGGATTAGAACATGGGGAGGGGGGAAAGCACATTTGAGAAATCTAATCCAGAAAAAAATCTGTTTTACATATCTGGTGTGCATGTTTACACTGGTTTTGGCTTGGGTTGCGAAAAAGACTGGATGTCTGGCTTGTGCAGAGTAGCCCTGTTAGCTCTGGGGGGGTGTGTGTTATTTTTTGCCCTCACACTATTCCTCTGCCCAGACTTGTTGCTGTAAAGATCAGCCAAGGGGGCAGTGAAAATGAGGCTGACATTACTTTCTACTGATTCATGAATGGGGAACGTGCATATTAACACAACAAGGAGAAGATGCCCTGTGTTTGAACAAGCCTTGATTCCTCTCTCTTCATCTACATCATCAAGACTTGTCTCTGTGCCAAGACTTTTCATGCTATGTGCTTATTTATAGAGGAAGCAATTGTCATGCAGTTCTTCTTAATGCATCCTCCTCTAGCCAAAAAAAAAAAATGGAAAGAAATTATGAATGTGAACTCATGAGACATCCAGGCTTCATCACTGGCTCATGTACACATAAGTACTACTTCCCAAACTGAGCCAAGAATGAATTTATTGGTTTGCAACCAATCTGCCATTCTCTCTCTTCCACCCCAAGCTTCAGTTTACAATATACCAAGTTAATAATGATGGTAGTTGCAGAGTATAAAATGATCTCAGCTGCTGAGTGCCTATTGGAAGACCTCAAGCCAGAGGTCATCCAAGAGCAACAGGACTTTATTTTCTCCACATCAGAGATCTCAGCATCTCTTTTTTTTTTAGAAAGGTAGACCTTCAGTGCCCTTCAGATGGCAGAATGTAGTCAACCTTGGCGAGTGTGGAAAGCTTAGCAGGTGGAACATCAACAGCAGAGGATTTCTATATTATTGTCAAGAAAATGACATGGGTGTGTCTGTGAAGTTATTTATAACTC